ATGTGCCTCAGAACTTTTTTCCAATCTAGGTATTATATTCAGCACATCTAGGCAAGATAATTTGTTGAATTTGTTATCATTTCGTGCTCGTTGAAAAATTTATCGTTATTGTTCTTTTTTGTTCCAATTTTACAGATTTAGTTAGTGATGCGCTCCTTTGCATACTCGCTAGCTTGATCTATACGGTTGTTTGTCGTCTATCGTTGCCCTCTTCGTCAGCTGAGATACCTTCCGCGGACATTAGCTATTCCCTAAACTCCTAATTCGGTCGAGCGTGGACATGCTCATTTGAGACATGATCCATCTAACTGTAGCCCTGTGCCGATCGGGAATAAATAACTTAGAATTTCAGAAAGACGCTCTACCAGTCATGTCCAAACGCTTGCCTTCTTTACTGATGAAATCGAATCACTGTGGAACGACTGACTGGAAGAGTTTGTTCCGATGAGGATAATTCGTTGACTTGATTAGTTCAATTAGATGTCAATCCTTTTTCAAAAGCATTATTTTGCAGCAAAACTTTGTGGCTAGTGTAACAAACTTATTCTCATTTTTGATAACATTCGCCTTATTTCTCACCAATGTTAGTGTTGAGTTGTTTACAGGTTGGTGTATACTTATATAAGCATGACCTGACGACATTAAGTCGTAAATCTGAATATACGGCTTGTTATTGTTTAATTTCGACAATAATTACAAGTATTACCATAGGTCACTGACTATGCTCTCACTGTCGACCATTGACTTAGTCAGTATCCGAAAGATTGTATAAACTCTCCTTAATGTTGGGAAATGAAATTTAAATCCCACGTGAAAGTTTAAGACATCGACTTTATATAGCTTCGGCATCAAAGTTAATTATTAGTTTAAGTATGAAAACTTAGCTGTTTCAGCTGGCGCGAGATTAATTAGACGACGTTGTTGTTGTTGTTGTTTGTATTTACTTCAAGTGGCTGTACCAGTAGTTGGCTAAAGTTTCGGCAACACCGCCTTCTTCAGAGCCTGTACGTGCATCAGATCCCTCACGTTGTACGCGAACGGTGCAACCTATCTAATGCCATTTTGACTTCGCCTCGAACTTGCCATGCCTGTCATCGCTCCCGTGTCAAGAAATTGTTATCATGCTTTCCTGTATCAAGCATACTTCACGTTCACGTTGGAGCTCTCTTGCTCGGTGACGAAGGCTGAAGCATTTAGACTAAACACTGCAATACTTGTGATCTCCGCTCGGGTAATAAAATAATGTCAACTTTCCCCGCCGAGCTCATTAGAGGCAGTTAACACACAGTGTAACGTAATGACAGAGTAGTATTTTTGTGGGCACGATAAATATAGCCCTTTGGAATTAATTCAAAGACTTTCGAGCCTTTTTTGAACTCTTCCTTATTGTATGAACTGAACAGTGGAGCGACGATTTCAGGAAACTGGTTTCCCCTGTTTTTACTGATTAAAGATTATCCAATAAATACGATTTTCATTTCGACGCTGTGATGGGGCGGTGCATCTGTATCGATATGTTTTGGTTTTTGATGATATTCAAGTGACTGAACTATTTCTATAACTGCTTTTTCTTTCGTTCACATCTCAGAAGATTGAGACGACCCGCTTTCTTTCCAAATAAGGTAATTAAGGAAAAATCTGTGCAATTTTGCACAGGATAATAGATTTTCTGTGGAAGGCATAGTCTACGGAACGCTGGCTTTTGAAAGACAAAAGCTTCTTTTTAGTTTTGTGTATGCTCATAGTGGAAAGGTATTCTTAACAAGCTAATATGGGCTTCAAAGTAGACGTCATTAGAGAGTCGTTCTGCCGAACTACAGGTTGAAGTGTGTGATCAACGTGAACAAGGTCATTCACTTAATAAGCTTGTTCTTTTGACTTTCCATGAAATGCACTCAGTGAAATTTCATCGTCCAACCGATTTTTGATACTAAGCTAGTAGAAGTCAGTAGAGATTTTGCTGATAAGGTGTTAATCAATCGTATGAGTAAAGAATTCGCTTTTTTCTGGAGTTTTGAAATAGTTTTGCGAAAGCATTGTCAGTAGCACACTCCAAACAATTTCCGTTTTCTGGTGATGATTGAAAGAATGCGCTGTTTGAATGACGGAGAAGTTGAACTGCATTTCAGCATGTGTACCCCTCTGCAGCTTTGCTCAAGAGGTAGCATTGCAACCCTAAAAATTCCCACACGCCCGGTTAGAAAGTGCTGCTGCCTTGGGAGGTTGGCAAAGCATGCGTGAACGAAGATAATTACCATGAAAAATAGATATGTGATATAGATATCAAACAAAAGTGATATAGACTGCATCCATTATTAGTTGAAGAATCTGATTCTTCAAAATTTTCGATTTTTTTTTGTAGGAAATGTTTATACGACAACAAGTTTTCTCGGTTGATTACACGAACTTGATAGACAAGACCTGCGATTGGCCAGCACATGACATGAAATATGGATTTCCTGTTTCAGTGTGACAACGGTCGCTAATGGATGATGAGGAGTAGAGGGCCGGCAACCGCAGAATTAACTTTACATATTGTCATGTTGGATACTTTGAAAGTTGTAGTAAACAACCTAGAGTACATAGGCATCATGTATAACAATTGAGTACAAAGTGTGCACAGTATGTAATCATTCGAATTATGAGGTTTTGCAATCTCTTAAATTGCGATTGAAGATGTATAAACATCAAGAGCATAGATATTTTGCTACTGCATTGTATAGTCGAATGATTTAGTACCATAAGGCTGTTTGAGTTTTCTAATTATGACGGTGTTAGCTCGATGAAAGTATAATCGGCTCATTGAACACCGTGTTGATGCGAAGCAAGGTAATATGATAATGCAGTTTTTTGAGCCTTCAATGAGGTACTTTATAAGCACTTGCACAGTACCTTTCGTCTGAGCCAATCGCTTTCGGAGGAAAAATTCCTTACATAAAAGAATCGTCGACGAACATGTTACACTGCATCGTGTAAAGTAAAAATTGTGACGTGCACTGTACCTATGAAAGACCTCATGAAAGGCTCAAGAAATACATTATCAAAATATATTGTTTTGAGCATGGAAAAAAACAACTGAATATGAACGAAACTAGTTGGTTTAAAAGTTACTAAGTGACGTCCTGCTTGCAAAGATATATGAGGCAAATAATACGATAACGTGATTAGTAATAGCTCTAAGTAAACGAAAGCTTACGTCCAAGCTTGCCAAGTTTCACTGAAATGCGATAAAAGAAGTTTTTAAGAATTGCAGTAACAACTGCAGCTGCAGAGCTTAAAAAAATGTTTGCAACACCTTTCGACGAAGATCTACGGGCTTCAGAGAGGCAGTGCCGAAAATCATACTTGAGGAAATTATCTCTTCAACGCCACATCATCTTGGAATTAGGGAGAAAACATATGTCGCGCTACTTGTTCTATCTCTTCAAGAACGAAAATGGTCTTCTTGGTATACAACAGTACAGCAATCAGTATGAGTAAGATAATGTCCAAGCAACTGAAGAACTGCCAAACCTTACCAATACAATGGCTCAGCTTTTCATATGTTTTCTGCCAGACCGCATGGTAGCTAATCAGCGGAGACAACGGCTCTCGTCCATGCGCTTTTCACTCCGCTCAACCTCAGCAGGATCGGTAGAATGCTGGGCGAAAAAGCAGGCATGTGACCTGGGACGGTTTTGCAAAGGATCCATTGCGGTAGACATCAGGAGGCAACAAAATTGATCGAAGGATCCTGGTTAGCAAAAAAACTTTTGATCGAGCTGGGAGTTGAGCCGGTGTTTCAAGCATACTGGCTCTATTAATACACTATGGAAGACACAGCTATGCTAGCACTCTTTCTTCGACTTTTGTAATAAGTGCGCGCCAGTCTAAGCAAGCCGTCCGTACAGTGCTGATAGGCGTATATCGTTTTCAATGCAGGCCGTCCTGGAATGATCAAGAAACGTGGCAGGCCAAAGCAGCTAGCAACAAGGTTCCATAGCATCTGAAGCTCACAGTAGGGAAATCGCAGATGCAGTAGTTATTACTAGAAACCTTAACGAAAATTGTGGAACTAAGCGAGTCATCGAGCTAACCTAGCTTGCTATGCATCTGTTCTATTACATAATCTATATGCGTGAGCAAACGATGGTCAAGCTGCGCGACTTGACAGTGATTCACAGACAACGGACATAATGTTATGCATACCTTTTGAAGAACTCCCTTACTAATCGAACGCAAACCTTCTTTGCAGATTTTACAAATGTCTACTGGAAGCATTTTGAGGTGTACTCTATCTGCAAGTGAACCGTTGTATATGAAGACAGTGATTTTTCAAAGAGCGGAATTACAACGTGAATTTTGCAGTAGAATTTCGCTTATCTCGTGAAACTTAGCTACCAACTACTTCTAGCGATATGATTGACTGGAGCGAATTAATAGCTTTTCATTTCTATCTATCAATTGCCCACGTTTCAACCATAGGCTATGTGTAGAATGGAAAGCAAAATACACCTATATCGAGCTGCGGGCACTCGTTACAATTCCGCTGTTCGTTAAGATGTAGTAAGAAGCAATTCTTTTAAAATGGTTTGAGCAATGTGAAAAGAAATCATGACCGACACGAGTGAGCGTAATTTAGAAAAAAGTTGAGGATTGGGATACCAAAAAGTGTAGGTAGAGTCGACCTTGCAACTGAAAGTTAATATAGATGAATATGCTGCAAAGAACGATGGTAGAAAATTGACAACGGCGCAACTCTTTATTTGGAAGGCGTGTGACAGGGAAACGTAATTGTCTTACGTCAAATCGCGTGAAAGGTTCGAGCGTGAACAGCAATGTAGGAGCGCATGATATGCTCTGATGACTGCATAAGCGAAGCTACACTTTACCTAATCTCTTGTAAAGCGTGCGGTTGTCTAAACAAATAGATCACTATGTATTTGCATAAAAGAACACCAGGACGGCAGGATAAAAGCTAGGTCGAGTTCCTAAGAGAATTGAGTGGTGAGCAAACACATAGCCTTAGGCGAGAATCGAACTCGAGTTTCTCTCTCCGGGAAAGCGTGCTGAACCACTACACCGCCGAGGCACATTTTCCCAACCACTCAGTTTTGAACATCTCTATGTTAGCTGTTAGCCACCAACCTTTAACAGGTTTGGTCACCTATACGACTTTGCTTTATAAACGCAGTTGAGCTGACGGCCATCGTGATAAGTAATAATCCGAATTATATGGTTCTTCTTGCCTTTTTCGCAGTTATATAATGTTCCATAAATTCCTAAGAGAATTAAGTGGTGAGCAAAAACATGGCCTTTTATTAAGCGAAATCGCATACCCGACCAAATCTGTTAAAGGTTGGTGGCCGACAGCTAGCATAGAGATGTTGAAAAATGAGCGGTTGGGCAAATATGCCCGGATGGTGTATTGGTACAGCAAGCGTCCCCGGATAGGACGAAACGGGGGTTCGAATCCTGCCTGAGGCCATGTTTTTGCTCACCCACTCAATTCCATCAGGAATTTATGAAACATCTAACACTGCGAAAAAGGTAGTAAAGGCAATAGAAATTTGGATTATTGCTAGATCGAGTATCACACTAGGCTATCTTAGGACACAGGCACATCAAAAGTGCATTTGCAGTGTAAGACACTATCTTTGCACAGAAACATCAGACATTAGCGCGTAAGTTTTCAGAAGAATTGGATAGACACCATCGATTCAAATAGAATCGAAGCGAAGAATGCCTCATAATCACTCGTGTTATGAGACAATGTGAAGGACTTATATTCTGATGAGGGAGGCAAATTCGAAGTCCTTGTGATCCCCGCACGATTAGTTCTCACTTGGACAAGTCATTGTATGACTCATAAAAAGCGGTGTGTATGTTGGAAATTATGCCTTGTGCTTGATACGAATGAATCTGGGTTTGGTAGCTTTTTCTCCTTGAATGATAAAGGTGCTGGGCTGAATGGGATGTAGGCACCCTGATCTGTCCAGGTTTTTGAAAAAAGGAAAACCGCCGAAACGTCAATGATTCAAATCGTATCATATCATTCACGAGTTCTAGCTTGCAAAGATTAGAGTGACGATGTGCTTGGTTAACTGAATTTCCGTGTGCATACTAGAATTTTTTGTTCATAAACGCAGAGAATTTGTTCAATATTTCACAGCTGCTAGATTTTTAATCGATCATTAAGAGTTGTGCATACGCTTTGTCGCATTACAAAATATTTTCATTGTTTTAACGAAAAAAAACCCATTTGTGTCTTATGCCCCACATAGTTTGTAGAGTCAGAGTCAACAGAAATAAATTAGACGGACACTTTATTTCAAGAACTTCACAGTTGTGTTGCCGTTTTAGTTGACGGTCGCAATTGCCGTAAAGAAGTGCGATCCAAATGGACTCGATGTTAACATTCGAACTGCTCTGTTCAACACATTTTGCCACATTCCCTTGCTCCAGTTTGCCATGACGAAGTTTGTGGTCTGTACGAAATCTTTCAATACGAATCTATAAAAGAAAATGTTTCAAACCGAGATAGTTCCTGAGATCGATGTGTGACTGATGGGAATAGCCATTATCATCATGTTATTGTCTATCTGGCACATATCAGGTGGCTTCATTGCACCACATAGGGCAGTGACAGTGTTGTCGACAATGACGCAGTACGGATTCATGACTGCTGGGACTGTAAGTAATTGTTTTGTTCATTTTATTCACAATAAAAAATCAGACACTTAAAGGAATCATTTCCTCTCAGTGCTTTTTCGTTTCTCCCTTATATGTAATACATCAAATATAATAATTACGAAGAAATTCTGTATCATCGCTGGAATAAATGCTGGACTGTTACCACAAGTTTTTTTCATCCCTTTAAGCTTTGCATTATTTGGCAGATATAAATGCTGCAAAAGCCGAATACCTTCGATCTTTTCAGTATAAAAGGATAGAAAGGACAAAACTCTCGGCGGTGATCAATCCCTGAGGGATGCGCCATGCATTCGCCTCCAATTTTTAACATTGTTTTAGGTGAATGAATGTCCATTCGACCTTTAGAATGACTAGCGGTGGCCTCCTGCTGAACCGAGTCACTGCTGCTTATCGTCCCAGAAAAGCCTGAGACCAGTCCGGTCCAATATACCGACCCCGGAGGGATGATTGGCCTTGAGCCATGGGCCCGAGATCGAACCGATGACCTTGTGTGCGACGCAGAGCACCTCTAATCACTGCGCCACACGCGCCCTCTCTCTTCGGTATTGTGCATGAAATTTATTTTGATTCAGTACGTGATATAAAATGTCTCACATACTTTGATGTGCGCAGCCAAAATTCTAGAACTGCTCTGTTCATTAGGCAAGAGAACAGAATGATTCCACATATAATGAGTTATGTAGGAATGAAGTAGCTAAAATATCTAACATGTGCATAAGAAGCTTGAAACTGGCAAAACGTCGGCCTCATACAGTCTTCATGGTGTAGTGAATTCTCTTTCACAAAATTCGGTCAGCCTCATTTATTGTCTTTCATTCGATATTTTCTGCAGATTTTTTTAATCGCAAACTCTTTCACTAAAGAAAGTTGTACTAGTAAAAAATTGTGCCTATTCATTTTTTTTTGCATCATTATGACTAAGAGATTGACTCTAGATTATGATCCGAATATTGACCTGAATAGCTTGTGATTACATAACTAGTTAATTTCTTGACACGATCTGCAGTCACAATTGCATTCTAACACTTCTTCCATTCAAATTTTCTTTACTGGCAAATTATCCGCAACGCGCTACATGTTTGCTATTTCATCTGATACATGAGAATTTTTTTTACCCTCACAAATGCCACTGATTGTTAGGCCAGTCGATTCTCTGAAACGTGAAGCCTTGCTTATGTGTCTAACAGATCATCGTCGTAAGCAAATGGCCAGCGCTTATGGATTCGAGGATGATGTAACCATGTCAGATATCATGTAGTCATTTTCAGAGTGATGTGTTGCTTATTAACGCCTACGGGTTCAAAACATGGTCTTTGTGCGTAATGAATTAACGCTGTGCTACCATACCCTTAGAACGCAAGCATGCTAGTGATGCTTGGGATGGATTTCAAGTTTTACAAGACTGTGTGAATCGAAACCCTTGCATTCGATTCACTTCCTCCTATTCATCTTCCACAAAGATCGTCGAACAGTTCACATATTACTGCGCTGATGTTTAAGGATTTAGTCTTTTCATGAAGTTCGAAAAGTGTTGGTAGGGCAGATCTCCTTGCAATCTCGCGGATAACCTAGGTGGAAGCTTCTTTGGGGCGTTCGTTGATTGATTGCTGGAGCTGTGGTGACAAAAAATAATCAAGCCCACACCGAGCATCACTATTTACTTGACCACCACCTCTTAAACTGGTATTAAAGTTTGTTAATCAGAATAAAAAAGCTAACGTACACATTACATCTAGATAATTCAGCAAATTTGCAAAAACAAATGGTCCTTGTACACTTTGTCTTACAGCTAATCTGTATTCGGAGCCTAGTAGAATGGCTAGTGAAGTGGTGTAATACTGCAAAAAGGTGTTAAGCAATGCGGAATTGATACCCTCTTCTTACACGTTCTTGTTATAAGTCAGCGAAACACCAATCAAATGGCTTAGCTAGGTTAACTCCAGGTTGCAAAGAAATGCTTTCAACTATCATTTTCCGAGGAGGGCGAATTCCCAAGCAGTAGCGCGAAGCAACACTCATAGTATTCGAGGGCTTTTCTGGAGAATGGATGCGAGGAAACGAATCGAGTGCAAGAACCTGAGATTCAGACAGTATAATACATTATCGGCTCGTGTGAAAAAATTGTTTTCACCATCATTCATGAAATGGAATGCAATTCGATACACAGTCAAAGAGACTGCAGTTTTTCTAAACGTCTATAGCTTACATATGAATTCTCTCAGTCTAATTTTATAAGCTGTGAACTTACATGGCATGTCTGCTGCTTGGTTACAGTCGCAGCTTTGCATTCCAAAGGATCATAACTAATCTGAACCATGAGTTGATTCAAGATGTTTGAGATTATGGCATCAGGTAGACCCGCTCTACGACCCTGCTGTTCGAGTACATCGAAGACCTAAAGAACAAAGTATTCTGTTGGTTACAAGGTTTACGTGAAAGCTAATGAATCAGATGCCTAACTATGCTAAAATCACAATGATGGCACAATCTCAAAGAGCTTGAGCTGAATTTCTGAACTGGTTATACGACCGCGGATAAAAAACCTGAGTTAAAATGCTGCAAGCTTACTGTTTGCATTACAAGACGCGATACAAATGAGTTAGCGGCCTCTCGAGTAGCTGCAATACCAGGGACTCGCGCAGAGACATCGGGTATAGAGGTGTAAGTCATAGCCACTGGCAAGGTAAAGCCACTTACAGTAAAGCTTGTAGACCTTCCTGCAACAAGCCTAGCTGTGAAAAATCATGAATTAAATCGTTCACTTAGATGTAGTTTTCTAGGATTGCTTTTTTTTTGCTTCACTATCTACGAAAAATCCTTTCTTTCCTACGTTTACATTAAGACAGCTCGAGTAGTAACACATTTAGATATAATAATCATGACTGAAGTGGGACACTTCATATCTAATACTGTAGCCTTTTATACTAACATAAGAGTTATTTATCTTTTACCTTGTCCTAGTGGCAGCACTCCACATCCAAACACTGCTGCTACTGTGGCTAGCAGTAAAACCAGGAGAGTAATAAAGTTGACTGAATTTGTAAAGCTATTCATTCGTAGCATCTAAGAGGAGACACATCAAATATTGTCAAGCAAGGAGAAACAAACTCTTGACTTGTTACGTCAGGCTATTAACAAGACAGCAACGAATTTCCAGCTGTAGCTCGGCTTTTCATGAGCCTGATGAGAAAGCCAAGAAGTTCAAGTAGTGTTCTATTATGGCGACACCACTTGTGGCCTTCGGTAAAACACTTATTTTTTGTTTTGCAAAACATCTCTGTAGTTCACCGATAGCCCAAATGAAGTGAATTTCAATGGCATGTTTAATTTCACAATGAGCTTATTTTTAGCGCCATACCAGTTAAAATAAGATTTTGT